GGGGGGGAGCCTGGAGTATGGACTTTGGAGATCAAAACGAGAGGATGAAAGAAACAAAACAAAACAAAAAAACCCCGAGAAGATGGCTGGTTCCCACTGGCAGGCCCGAGGGCCTGATATTTGGCAGAGCAAGCGTGGAGCTCGGTCCTGAGATTGGTGAGAGGCCCCAGTGCTCCCGGGTTGGATTACGTGCAAGGGGGCAAGCTGAGGCCGTGGTTATAAATACCTCCTGGGAATGGGCCGGAGCCCAACGCTGCAGGCGAAGGCCCTGGTGCTATATTCCGCAGAAAATCATCACTAACTTTCCCCGTCTTAACAAGTGAGACGTTGCCAATACCACAGATACCTTTATTGCTTCTGGCACTCAAAACCCAAACCCATCTCCCCACCGTCCCATCCTCTACGACCCCAAAACTCAAACTCCCAGCATTCCAAGCGGGAAGAGAACTACAACTCCCAGAAAGTTCTGCGCTCCGGAGGGCTCCAGTGAGGAGTAGCCCATGAAGTTTCAAGGCTCGCGCGCTCGTTTCTATTGGTTTTCAAGGAGGCGTGGTCACTGGAGGTCCGTGGCGGTGATTGGCCGGCAGTTCCTGCTGCTCAAGATCCCAGAGAAGGCGGCGGAGTCTGCGCAGTTCACGGTGCAGGGCGTCGTCCGTCACCGGCCCGGTGAGGCGCAGGCGCGAGCTGCCCAAGGGCAGGATGAGGGGAGGATGGGAGGAGAAGCTCTCGAAGATGTCCCCTAGGAGACCGAAACACCGAGTTAAATTCCGAAAATGGGCGTCAGGCAGCAGTGTTAGAGAGAGCCGAGGCTGCGTGAGGTCCGAAGGAAAAACTGAAAACCCCCAGCAGCTCCAAGCGTCATGGGAGTTGCAGCTCAGACCATGAAAGGCCACCGTAGCCCGGGAAACGGGTGATGTGGGTTCTCCGGTCCACGAGGGAGGAAGGGCTAGGAACTTAGTTGTACGGATTCCTTCGAGTGGAGGGCCTGGAGCCGGGACTCCCAGATGACGGGGCGGGTAGCTTGGGGGTAAGAAGCTGGGGGTCTGAACCCCTAGGGAAAAAAAGAGGGAGCTGGGGACTTGAACTCCTGGGGAGAAGGGGATTGAGGTCCAGCACTTAGCTGCCGGGGAAGGAGAAGGCTGGGGGATCAAAATCCTGAGCAAGAAGAAGGAAGGGGCTGGGGCTATGGATTCCTAGGTCCTGAGGACAAATGAAAGCTGATAGCCCCAGTGCCTCTCCCCATTTCTCCTCGCCTGTGTCCACGGCATCTCGTTCTGCAGGGAGAGGGTCCCAAGCAGGTGGGGGCCCGCGGCCAGGACCCAGCTGGTAGTGGCTGAGCAGATGGTGGAGCTGAGCAGGGGTCAGAGTGGGGTGGTCAGTTCGGAGGCTGTTCCATGAAGCCTGGTGGGAAGATGAAGTGAGAAGCCTTTGGTCATTATGGGGCAGCTGAGAAATCCTAAATGGAAAGCCCTCCATAGAGGTGCTGGATGTAGTGGGAGATATTAGTGTCTGTGCAATGTCTTTTGGGCACTGTGAAGACTGTTTGTCACCGAAGTGATGGTAGGGAAGGGTGTGCTCTCTGCTTTTTTTTTTTAAGTAATTTGCTGCAGAGTATATGAAGATAGTAGTAGGCAAGGATGGAGAAGAGACGAAATTAGCTATTCGTTCGTAGTATTGGAGCTGGTGATGTGTACCTGGGGATTCATTATTCCATTGTGGCTACTTTTTTATTGGTTTGAAAAGTTCTACACCTAACCTAGCTCGCATCAGAATCATCAGTGTGGTTAAAACTCTGGATCCAGATTGCCTGGGTTCCAAAAACTCCAGTGCCTCACTTTCTTTATCTGTAAATTGGGGGAGATTAGGAAGTATCTACTAGGATTGTTATGAGGATTCAATATGGCAAGATTATAAAGTACTTAGAACACTGCCTGGTGCTTATTTAATGCTCTGTACACATTTGACAGAATAAATGAAAACAAGTGACCTAGCCTAATTGATTCTCAGTTTCCTTGTCTGAAAAACCATTGTCAATTAATAACCTACTTCATGGGGCTTAGTTAGCATTCAACTAGAAGTGCAAAACAGTGTCTGGCACATAGTTTTATGTGCAATGAATGTTTTAACTATCACATTCCTTGGTATCATACCAGACTTCCTGAATCAGTGTGTCTGAGGAAGGGGGCCCTGGAAACTGTTACTAATAAGTCCCACTGGGATTCAGGTGCAGCTCAGTTTGGACATCTGTTGGATACTTCCTTCTAGCTGCCAATGCATCATCCATGGTGTCTGAGCCGGGACTGGGGACAACATGGAGTCCAAGGGAAGATCCAAAGGTAAGCTGAATACAGAGCATGTCTGAGGAGCCAGAGGTCAGGGTCAAGAATCACCTTGAGCAAGGAGGTGCGAGGCACACAGAGCAAGTTCACAGCCATGGAGAGTTTCCGGAAGAACTCAGTGGCAATGTCCCCCAGCCCAGCCCCCTGCAGCCAGTCCAACACAAGGTCCAGGTTGGTCCGGATTTGGACAGCTCGAGACCATTGATAGAAAGGTCGGCCTTGACCTGTGGAGAAAGGGTGTGAGCAGCAATGGGTACTTGGACCCTGCCCTTCTGCCTCCCAGGCCCTTCCTATCCTTCAGCTTGGGATCTGGAGCTTGCTTTCCAGAGCTCCTAAAGGTTAGCCCTCTGGGGAGCGGGGTGGGATGGGGTGGAATGGGTAATTGGGGAGAAAAAGGGACAGCTGTAACATTTTAAACAAAAATTAAAAAATTAAAAAGGTTAGGCCTTAGCCTGTGATGTGTCTGACTTGACATGGATCTCAGAGGCTCCTGTCTCTGCCTCCTTGCCCTTCCCAGTCTGACCCTCACCTCGTTCCATCAGTGAGTTGAGAAGGGATGCATTGGAGAAAAAGAACAAGTAGCCGAAAGTCTGAGACACAAGGTCCGGGTGCAGCTCGCACTGGCTGGTCAGTTCCAGAGCTGCCTGGAACACACCCAGGGTGGGTCTCAAACCCTGAGGCATGGCCTCCAGCTCTGCGCCAGGTCCCGGAAGCTCTGCTCCAGCCGTGAAAGGGTTACTGTCCAGGAGAGCGGGCAGCGTTGAATACAGAGTCTGAGGTAGGGAGATGTAAACAAGTGGTCAGACACAACTCCCTACAAGTGTGAGGGCAGAACAGCATGAAGATACTGGGGAGCTCCACCAAAGGCTTCTGGGAATTGTAGTCCATTCTGCCTTCAACACCCTAAACATCTCCAGGAGTAAATTCCTACTTTCCAGTTGGGTTTGTAGCATTCATCAGGCCTTGGACACCTCAAGTCTTAAGAAAGGCTTTGCAGAAGTTTCTTGGGTATTTTAAGACCCCCCTCTGGAGCCTTAAGGGACTTAGAGCTCCTCAACTGAGATAGCTCAAGGAGGACAGAGGATGTGAACAAAGAGGCCCCCTTCAGTGAAAGAATTATTTATCCAGAATTCCCGAAGGAAAGAAAAAGAATGGAGAGTCAGGAAGTGGGAGTGGGGTGGCTGTTAGCCAGTGGAAAGTGAGATCACGCCAAGGACAGGAAATGAGGTCAGAGCCAGAAAAAAAAAGAAAACCACACTTGGCAAGGATGTACAGGAAGTGAAGCCTTGAAGGAAAGGGGTTCCCAAATCAAGGCTCCTCAAGGAACACAGATTATCTGTCCCAAAAGATCCCCTTTCATTTTACAGATAGGGAACCAGGCCCACCATAAGCCAGAAACCTTGCGGATTCCAAGAAGCGAATATTAAGGTCAAGGGTGGTGGTGAGGAACTGGGGAAGCAAACAGGTCCTGTGGGATGGGTACTCCACGGGGGAAAAGGTCTGTGACTCAAAAGGGAGTGAATTCTGAGTTATAGAAAGTCAGGTCAGCAAACACAGGAAGTGAGGACTGATTAAAGAGGACTTTTAGTTTAAATGACAGTAGCCAACACTATTTGATCTATCATATCTATATACCTGTATATCTCTCTATCTATCTATCTGTCTATCTATCCATCCATCTATCTATCGACTTATCAGTGACTAAAGAATGAACTTAGGAAAACGAAGCTTGAAAAAATGATAATGGTGATATAACCAGGTAGAGAGGCCAGACTGTCAAGAGGGGATGGTTGCAAAGAGAGGAAGGCAGGAGGCGATGTAGGCTCAGACAGGAAGTGGTGTCAGAATAGCGAAATGGGAGGTGATGTCAGAGAAGCAGGAAATCTTGTGAGGTCAAACAGGAAGTGACATCAGAGCAACGTGATGTAGCTCAGATGGGAAATTGTCCTGCCAATCAGGAAGCAAAGGTCAAGGCCAACCTTGGTGAGGTAGTAGACAGACTGCTGGAAGGTACACATGATGACTTCATCCAGGAGGGCCATGGCCTCGTCACATAATTCCAAGTCATTGCAGAGCTGTGGGTCTGAGGATAGGCCTGGGGGTGAGAGGGAGAACCAGAGGCTGGCAGACAGGAGCCCAGGTCCCCAGGTTCAGGAAATGGCAGGGCGCTTGGACAGCCTGGCTCTGGGCCTGAGCTTACCCTCCTGGTCAGCCTCCTTCTCCATCTCCAGCACCTTCTCCTGCACAAAGCTCAGCAGTTCTGTGGTGTTGGCCATCCACAGCATGAGTGGCCGCAGCTCCACGGACACAGCCTCGGGGGTCAAGGGCTCCTCAGGGACCCCCTCAGGGTGGCTGGGGAAGGAGGATGGGACCTGTGATCCTTGCCCTACTCCACCATAACACCCAAACCCTGAAATCTGGGTCTAATTGCGGATTGAGTCTAACCCCCATTTCACAGCTGGAAAAGTTGAGTCCCGAGGAAGAGCAGGAACTGGCAGTATGACAAGCATGGAGTGAACAGAACTGACTGCAAACCCCAACCCCTGCATCCCTCTGGATGCTTCTCCCAGAATTTCTCTTACTTCTCTGGCTGACGATCTCCAATTTCCTTAATCTTTTCCTGTGGAACAGTAAGATCAGAATCAGAGCGAGGGGGGTCAGGGAGACAAGCCCATGGGTTAATACCTGGGTTTTGCTAAAAGCACCCTTTAGACACTCTCCCCACTTTTCAAAAGACTCTAACGCTCGATCTCAAGCTTCAGAATGCTCTCTCTTCTTATCTTTTAAAACACACACCTCTATGATTATGAGTGGTCCATCTCCCCCAGGTCCACTTCTCAAACAGCTTCTTCTTACCCCCAAGAAATGTCCTAAATCTTCTAATAGACCCGAGTTTATGAGCATGGAACCCCCTTCCCCCTATGGCTTCTCCCCGGCACTTCTGGGTTAGGTGTCCCTCACCTCCAGGAATGGCCTCACCCCCTACGCCTGCAAGCTTCTGACCCAGTGGGCTCCGGGCCTCACTTCTCACAAAGGTCGCTTCCAACTTTTCATACAATGGGATCTCTTCCTCCCCCCCCACGCCTCCGCCTCCCAGAATGGTTTCTTCCGTTAGACCCCGCGCCGCGGACAATCCGCAGCTCCCAGCGCCCTGAGGCACCGCGCGAGGGGCTCAGCTGGGGTGGAAGGGGGCGAGGGGAGGCTGCCGAAAGGA